AATGAAATATCATATCTACGGATTTCACTGGGCGTTTCTAGTATGGTGCTACGAGGCAATCCCTGCATTAGGTCGTACATGTGGAAATTGTACCTCGGTGAGACGCCCACTACGGCTGGTTCACTGGTTACTGAATAAAGTTCTTCTTCAAGATACGTTTTTTGACCAACATGTATTATTTGATCCTAAACATTTTTTTATTATTATTGGAATCGTTAGCAAGTGATATCCGAATTTCTTTTTTGTGTCTTAACGATTTCTGATGATTTCTTTATTTTTATGTTCTATTTTTTTAAATTTAGTTGGAGGTGAATGAGACGCTGCCGCTGAATGAGGATGAAATTGGCGTGTTGGACCTCTCGAATTTGATTGTTCCGGGGCCTCGATTTTCACGACGGGCTAACCCGGCCAGTCGCCGTATACAAGACTCGGCACTGCCATCCCCGCCGGCTCTGCAATCTCAAATTGCGGCCGACACTGTGAACCGGGAGGAGGCGAGGCCAACTGGTGGGTCGGCCTTTATTGAGGATATTCGTGCGTGCGAACGGGCTGAAATGGCTAATGTTATAGCCAGAATATCCTCTGAGGTGTCCGCAATCATTCTACGGGAGGTGCCGACTATTATTCGACAAGAGTTGGCCAATCTGACCCACCCCCATCTGGGACAGCCTCCTCCCCAGTCCGAGCCAGCCGTCAACTCAACGAGACAGCGTTCCGCCACCCACTCCTCGACGAGACAGCGTTCCCCCTCCCATGAGAGCAAGCATTCCCCCACCCCCTCCCGTAAGAGACAGCATTACTCCACTCCCATCTCCGAGACAACCGTCCCCAATCCCCCCATCGAGACAGTCGTTGTTGAATCCCCCTCCACCTCCCGTAAGAGACAACGTTCCTCCACTCCCACCTCCGAGACAGCCGCCGCCAACCCCTCCATCTCCGAGACAGCCATCCCCAATCCCCCCCTCGAGACACCTGTCGCTCCCACCTCCACCTCCGAGACACCCCTTCCTGAGACAGTCTTTGCTACCACCTCCAAGACACCCGTCGCTCCGACCTCCACCTCCACCTCCGAGACACCGGTGTTGCAGTCCACTTCTTTTCCGTAGTCCTCGTCTTTGGAGATTAAAGTTGATCGACAAAGACGACCAGGACGTGCTGTTGTAAGTCCATATCGACCCTAGGAGAACAGACGGTATGCCAAAAATAGGGGCGAGTTTGAACAGTTCCTCAAATACAAGAATAAGGAAATGTAAGTACATCCAAAAGATCTTTTATTGTTTATATTTTTGAAAAAAATAACTTTCTATTATATTATTTAATAGGAAGAATGTCGGCATTCCATATGTGGTGGACAAGGAGTAGTTTCAGCAGTTGGTTAATCCAAATGAAATGATGTATGACGAGGTATGTATATGTTTGTCTTGTAATATCTTAACATATAAAAATGAATTGATGGATGATGTTTGGTTTGATTTTATAAAACAGCCGCTGCCAACCCTCCATCTCCGAGACAGCCATCCCCAATCCCCCCTTCGAGACACCCGTCGCTCCCACCTCCACCTCCGAGACACCCCTCCCTGAGACAGTCGTCGCTACCACCTCCAAGACACCCGTCGCTCCGACCTCCACCTCCACCTCCGAGACACCGGTGTTGCAGTCCACTTCTTTTCCGTAGTCCTCGTCTTTGGAGATTTAAGTTGTTCGACAAAGACGACCATGACGTGCTGTTGTAAGTCCATATCGACCCTAGGAGAACTGACGGTATGCCAAAAATAAGGGCGAGTTTGAACGGTTCCTCAAATCCAAGAATAAGAAAATGTAAGTACATTCAAAAGATCTTTTATTGTTTATATTTTTTTAAAAAAATAACTTTCTATTATATTATTAATAGGAGGAATATCGGCATTCCATATGGGGTGGACAAGGAGTGGTTTCAACAGTTGGTTAATCCGAATGAAATGATGTATGACGAGGTATGTATATGTTTGTCTTGTAATATCTTAACATATAAAAATGAATTGACGGATGATGTTTGGTTTGATTTTATAAAACAGAACGTTGATGCATACTTGGAGATTATGCAAAGCAATCCACTCCTTTTGGACTTCCAGCCACGGGAAGATATGTTGGGCACTTATACCATCGTGCCGACTATTTTTTTGTGAGATTATATTAATCCTTTCTCTTTTCCTTGTCATTCTATTTTTATTAATCATTATATTAAAAACATTATTATTTATTCTTTTGTTGTCTTTTATATAGATGATGCTGGATGAATTGGAGAAGGAGATCGATAAGGAGGGAGTGGGCCCGGCTCCGGAGACCCTCCATTCTTTGATTCGCATTGCGAGTGGGGGGTCACCGGTTGGGGGAATCCGTGTCCTTGGAGGGGGATTCAATCTGTAATCTGTAAGTTTTCAATTATTCCGAATAAATTAATATTGTAATCTTTCCTAAAAAATTAGTGAATTTCTCACAACTCAATGCAACAGATTATTGGAGTAGTGAATTTGTCCAACCACCACGTGACTGTCCAGATCTCTTTACTCAATGGGACAATAAGTGTGTTTGACCCTCTATGGCATACGCATTTAGAAAAGGAGAACGAGCACATTCGCGAAAATCGCGTCAAAGGACTCCAAAAAATCCAAAATCTAATTCCAGTGATTGCGACGTATGCGGAAGTAGAGGGAGTGAGCGAAAAGTTCGAATTGGAATTCATGGACCCCATAATTACTGTCTTGCAACATGATAGAATTTATTGTGGTGTATGCTGTGGAGATGGTACGAACATTGCTCACGAGGAACATCCGTTTCAAGAAGCTTAACAAGTAGTTGGCTAAAGCAATGCGGCACAAAATTGCTCTACAAATTTTTCAGTTTAGTACAGAACCAGACACAATTACCACCCCAGTTCTTTAATGATTCATATAATACATTTTTATTATTTGTTTTTTTTTTTTTGCATTTTATTATAATTTTATTGTTTGTTGTATGTATGTGGCATTTCTCATACCTGAAATAAAAGAATTAAACTAAATTAAATTATTAAGGATGAAAGAAATAAAAAATAAACTTTCGAATAGAAGTGCGAAGGTGGTATGCGAGCAATATACGGCAATTCGCATACACCATCTCATAACTGAAAGATGAAAGAAATAAAAAATAAAGTTTCGAATAGAAGTGAAAATGTGGAATGCGAGTAATATGCGGCAATTCGCATACCCCATCGCATAACTGAAATAACTGAAAGATGAAAGAAATAAAAAATAAACTTTCGAATAGAAGTGCGAAGGTGGTATACGAGCAATATGCGGCAATTCGCATACCCCATCGCATAACTGAAATAACTGAAAGATGAAAGAAATAAAAAATAACTTTCGAGTAGAAGAGCGAAGGTGGTATGCGAGCAATATGCGTAAATTCGCATACCCCATCGCATAATTGAAATAACTGAAAGATGAAAAAAATAAAAAATAAATTTTCAAATAGAAGTGTGTAGGTGGTATGCGAGTAATATGCGGAAATCCGCATACCCCATCGCATAACTGAAAGATGAAGGAAATAATAAAAAAACTTTAGAGTAGAAGTGCGAAGGTGGTATGCGAGCAATATGCGAAAATTCGTATACCCCATTGCTTAACTGAAATAACTGAAAGATGAAAGAAATAAAAAATAAACTTTAAAATAGAAGTGCGAAGGTAGTATGCGAGCAATATGCGGAAATTCACATACCCTATCGCATAACTGAAATAACTGAAAGATGAAAGAAATAAAAAATAAACTTTCGATTAGAAGTGCTAAGGTGGTATGCGAGCAATGTGCGTAAATTCGCATACCCTCTCGCATAACTGAAAAATGAAATAAACACGAAAAAAACTTATTATGCACCAACTCTGTGAATAATATGCGACGTTGGTATGTCGCAGAATAATTTTTTCGACTAATAGTCGCAGATTTATTCGCCTAACAAGAATAATTATTTAATGGGCGACGGACCGTGATTGACCGAATCGTACATCGAATCTCCGCATATTCATCGCAGAACAGTCGCATACTTTAACTCATAATTTTCTCAGACATGCTCATACCTGTCGCCTATTTATCGCATAGTTCATCGCATATGTCTTCATACTTTTTGGGGTGAAAAATTTAGCTTTTTATTGAGTGGTGTGAAAAATTTAATATGACTTGGAACTGGTGAAAATAGCTATTTTTTATTCTCAAAATGTGTTAAGGATGATTGACCGGGTAAAAATGTGGTATATTTTGGTAAAAAATGTGTTGAGTATGATTGACTGGGTAATTTTCTCAAATAAGGTCGAGGGGATGTCTTATTTGCAGCATTACAAAATCTCGAGGGGTAGAATGGAAGAACCCTAAACCTAATCAGTGTCCATAAACCCCTGGGTAGCTTCAAGAATCTACAGCTTTACACCACTGGGCAAGCCGGTGAAAGTAGAGCTTTGAAGCTCGGAGAGAAACTGACAAAAAAAAAAAAAATTCCCTTTTCAAGAATTTTTAGCGTACACATACTTCCTATTGTTCCCGACTTCGCAGTTCCCTTTTTCTGTACTCTATCATTTCCCATTTCGCTGTAAAAAAATGCGAGCCTTTTCCCCCTTTTGGCCCCCTTTTAATTTTCTCGAGGGGTCTGTTGTCGGAGTTTTTATCAGGGTTCCTCTGCGTTTGATGACATGTTGTCGGAGTTTTTATCAGGGTTCTTCTAACTAATTTTCCATTTTGTTTTTGAATTTTTCCTCTTCTATTCTGTCACAGAATTTTACAAGTCTTACCACCAAGAGAGTCTTCTAGCTGGGTAGAGGCATATTGTGTACACACAATTCACCTGTCGAGCTTCCCCATTCTTACTCCTCGCAAAACCGTCAAGTTTATTATTATCTCTTCTCTTATACCACTGTGAGTCACAACATGGATGATAATTTTTGGGTGGAGGAATGTAGTGGACAAGCATCTGTTTGTACGAAGAGGAAGAGAAGAATTGGGAAAAAGAAGATTGAGTTCATAGGCTGGGCTTCGAGGCCGTTGATTGAATTTCTTCAAGCTATCGGCAAGGATACAACAGTAGAACATACTCAACGTGAGGTGGAAGCCTTTATCACCGCTTATGTCAACGACAAGCGTCTTGCAAGTGCAGAAAAGAAGAAGAAAATCTTGTGTGACGAAACCCTTTATGCTCTTTTTGGGAGGAAATCCATGCACCGGACCAAGATTTATGAACTGCTGGAAGACCACTTCGCTGAAAATCACGATGAGACAGACGAGGATCTTGACAACTCAGATGAGGAAGACTGTGCAAGAAAATCAGTCTCCAAAAGGAACCTGACTGGTCAGATGAAGGTTTTCAAGGCTCCCAGGAGCTGCTTTGCTGCTGTTGTTCGTGAAAATATCAAACTCGTTTATCTGAAGAGGAGCTTGATTGAGAAACTTCTCAAGGAGCCCGAAAGCTTCGAGTTTAAAATGGTGGGAAGCTTTGTTAGGATGAAATCTGATCCTAATGATATTTATCAGAAGAATCCCTTTCAGCTTCAGCAAGTCGCAGGTAAATCATTGTGCATGATTTCCATATACCGTTCTTATGATTGCTAAATGATGCTATGTAGTTTCCTCATATTACTTTACTTTTTTTTGTTTCACTAAGCCTTAAAAATATCTATTGTATGTTCTTTTCTAGTGAGTAGTAATACATCTTAGTTGAGTAATGAGGAATAGATTCACTTTGAGAGTGAGAAGTTTCTTCAGACATCAGGAAGGGCTAATATATAGAATTTTTTAGTGAAAATATACGAGGTCTAAAAGTGATCGGGGATGCTAGCTGTCTTCTTGATGATTTTATTTAGTTCTGAACTAAACTAGTTTTACTGCAACTTTAGCGTTTTTCGTTTGAAGATCATCTGGTTAGTTGGTGCAGAGACATTTTGTTATAATAAAAGCTAAATGATGTTTTGAGAATGAGCAGAACTGATAATTTTAATCTTTAGAGCATCAATAAAATTTATGCTGCCTTTTCATTTAGTGATTAATATTGCTGTAAAAGTGCCGATACTAGTTGTGTTGATGCCTTTGCTATAATCAAATTATTTTAAGATGCTGAAGATTTCAGTATTGATGTGAAAGCATTTAGGTTTTTTTTTCTGACTAACAATATTTAAAGAACTAAGGAAGACTTACTTCCTCAGTTTTCCCTTGCCTTTTGTTGCTTTCATGATTTTAGATTACATTTCCATTTATGTTGGTAATTGCATCTTTCAACTGGTTTCATTATCAGGTGTAGAAAAGGTTCCTGGTGCTGGTGATGCTGTTTCTGAAATTCGCCTGAAAGTTTCCAATTTTTTTAAGGAAATCCCAATTTCCATGCTGTCAGATGAAAACTTTTCAGAGGTTATTATCCATCTAAACCCCAAACATTCTAGAGGTGATATAGCCAGATTGGGCAAGGCTTTTTGAAGCACTGATGATAGATTTGATGGTCACAGCACTCACTCTCTTCTATAAAGAAGTTGTTTTTCTGTGTTTGATTAATATGGCCGAACTTAATTTGGTTTAATACACTGTCAAATTAAAACAGAATATTTTTTTCTCTTGTTTTGTTTGTGTTTTTCTATGTTATGACTACTCTCGAGTTATTTTCTTAGTCCATTAATCACGTTAAAACACAGAATCGCAGAAGCATTGCCCTTCTGCCATACATCTTTATGAAAAGTAAAAATGAACTACATGTGATCCTCATTCTAGCAATACAGATATATGTCATTGACTTGGTGTATTGAGTAATTTAGATATAGGTGCCGACTTGGTGTTACATTTGACTTGTGTTGTGCCCAACTTCCTGTCATTTTATTTGGATTGCCATCTCATTATTGCTCTTATTTCAGGAAGAAATTGAAGATGTACGGGACAGAGTTAAAGCTGGATCTCTGAAAAGGCTGACTGTTGTAAGACTTTCTACCTACAATCTTTTTGCTTGATGTGTTTGTTTTGAGCTGGTTTCAGCAAAGCGAAGTGTTTACATTAGAAAACCTTGGCATCCTTGCATTTCCGACATGTCCTTTTTATCTTGATAAGTTTGTTACTGCAACTTGATATATGGTGAATATAATGTGGATCAGGGCCTATTCGTAATTGGCTAGTGTAAAATTATTATTTTACTATTTAGAAAGATGTAAATTTTATTGTTCTGAAGTGTCGATGAGTCATAAATTATAAGTGAATGCAATATGGACTACTTATAGGTTTAATTAAAAGCTTCAATTGCTTTAGTGAGGCATCCTTTTGTTCTACTTCGATACATTTTCTTTTGTCCACATTAAAATTATGTATCTTGGTTGCGGAGCTGCAGTCCACAATAAGTTTAAGATTGGGTTCTTTGAGGATGAAACCCTTTTCTCTTGGGGGATGGTCATATCACTGGATGAGCAGACAGAAGGAATTAGATAATAGAAGAAAATTTTGTGCTGAAAAGCTGTTCTTATCGACATAATTATTGATATTACTTACGTGTTAAAACTATTTGCCGGTTCCTTTCATTTTTATGCATGGTGTTGATGACAGAAAATATTCAAATACAAGGACATATATTTGTTGTGTTCTTCAAATCTCTGTACTGTGGATTGCAATTGATGAAAATTTTCTTTTATTTGTTGTTTGTTGTTTGCCATTTCATTACTGTTGATCATGCACACGATCTTATAGCAATCAGTTATTGGTTGATTCACTATCCAGAGGTTTCTACTAACAATTTGTCAAGAGTTTTAACTATCTATTCTGATAAAATAAATATATTTTTCAATTTTTACAATTTTTCGTGATTACTATTTTGCAATCATCAAAATTTTCAATATAAACCATGGGTTAATAAAATTGGCAGAAAGAGGTGGAAGTGAAGGCTAAATTACTGCATGCTGATATAACTAATCATGTAAGTTGTATTTTCCTCTCTCTCTCTCTCTCTCTCTCTCTCTCTCTCTCTCTCTCTCTCTCTCTCTCTCTCTCTCTCTCCTTTTACTTCATTCCATCTTATCTGAAGTTGCACTTCTTTATAGTCTGTTTACCAAAATTTACCTATACCAAAATTTTCCTATTTCTATAAGCATATAATGTTAGAATGAAAAAACTATCCATTATTGTGTATTTGAAGGATGCAACTATTGGGAAGAAAGCCTGAAAATGGCATCATACACATAGATTAATCCTGGACCTTGTTCATATCTTATATTCAGTTATTGCCAGTATGAACTCCTGCTATTTTTATCAGACAATGAGATTCAGCTAAACCTCATATTTCCCAAATGACTTTCAACTTCTAAATTGATGTTAATTTTATTTGAATGCCATTGCTTTCGATATAGAAACATATAATGTTCCATGTCCATCAGTCTGAGAGAACCATATTTGTACTGCATGGATACATGTGGATATAACTCCCACTGGCGTAGAAGTTCTCTATTATTTGGAAATTTTTGTGAGAATTCGGGCTGATGCAATCTTTGTTCTAACTGTAATATTCTTTCTCATTACAGTGGATTGGAAGAGAACTTTCTTTGTTACAGGGTAAAATTGATCGAGCCAATGAAAAAGGATGGCGTAGAGAATATCCTTTCAGATAGTAATATGAGATTTGTCTGCCTATATGTGTGTGTGTGTGTGTGTGTTCTCCAAATACTGCATTTTTCTGCTTGCTTCCATAATTTCAGATTCAGTCTTTTACTGCCTTAGTTGGGCAGTTTGTCTACTTAATTCCCTGTAGATACATTGTTTGACTATATAGATAGAAGAAAGATGCTAAACACACCGTCCGAACGAGAGAAATTACTCCTTACAATTCCTGAGGTGATTGCTGAGGAATTAGAGCCCGAAGTTAAGAAAACAGTTACTTCCGAGAAAGCGGATGGATCCCCAAAGTCTATTCTTAGGATGACTTCAGATGCTTCCAGAACAGATACTTCAGGTGCGCTTTTGTCTTATATACCATAGAGGTGCTAAAATTGTACAATATCACGTGAATTGTTAAGCAATCTATATTTCCATATTAGATCTAGATTTTTGAGAAAATTATAGTTGTAAAAGTTAGAAAGGGAAAGTGCAAAGTATGTGCCTCCATTGTAGTTACAATACAACAGCACCATATTTAACCATTAAGGTATCTAAAAACCCATGTAGATTTGTTATTGTAGAATAGACATAGCTCACTTCTCCTTGCTTGACGTGAGTAGTTTAAATCTTAATGGAAAAATCTGGGAGGTTGCAGAAGACGGTAAGTAAATATGTGGTCTGCATTTTTTTAATCCACACTTTTTTGCCATTAGCTTCCTTTAAACACTGCTGTTTGAAATGCTTCATGCAGTTGTATCCCGCTTCACTGCTCGAAACCAAATTTTCATAGACTTTCGAGCTTTTAATAAATTAACAGTGTCTTGGTCTGCATCCATTTTTTTTTTTTTTGGTAGTCATTTTGTGAGTATTGTTGCAGAAAATGAAGCGTTGGTTGGTTATGCTGCTTTTTAAAGTCTAAATAAATAAATATGTGCAATGTTACCATTATTTTGCAGGGTCGAGAAGCATTGTGGTCCCAGCCATTCTCACAGGTAAAGTACAAAGTGGAGGCATTGACAGCATTTTGCCCGTCAACAACCCAAATGGTAAAAGGACTTGTCCATTCCTGGTGATATTAAATAATTAAATTTTGTGTGAGTTATTTTCATACCTGTCTTATTAGTATATAATATACTGATCCAGATGCAGTCGATGAAGCTGCAGCCAATATTGAACAAGCAATGCCGGTTCTGAATTTGTTGAATGATGCGAAAACTGAGGGCCCTGTGGAGAAACAAACACAGTTAGCGACTAGTGATAATTTAACAGTGATTGACCTGAGTGAGGATGAGGAGCCGTGTGGTGAGGCTGAGGACTATAATAATAATATGCGTGAAAGGGCAGAGGATGTTATATGGCACTACTTGGATCCACAGGGGCAGACGCAGGGCCCGTTTTCGCTCTACTCTTTGAAAAGGTGGAGTGACCACAACTACTTCCATTCAGGTTTCAGGGTTTGGAAGAGCGGTCAGACACAAAGTGACAGTGTTCTATTGATCGATGTCCTCAGCCGGACCTTTTGAAATTGGGACCGACTCCGACTCTTTCTCGCTAACTATTGCAAGGGACTTGTGATCACCAAGATGAGTAGTGTAATGGTTTACTCATTTGCAACTTTGTATATGACTCTAGATGTTTTAGCAAAATAATGCGTTACGCAGTATTTCCATTCAAACAATATAATGAAGATGTGTGAATAATTTATTATTCAAATTGATGAACACAAATTTTTTATTTTCAGTTGATTTTGATTGAAAGATGTGAGAATTGTCTGAGAATAATATGTTATGCTATTTCCAATTGTTATGATACTGTTTTTAATATATTATGGTGTTATAAGTGGAAATTGGTCTAAATATTAAAAATAACCTCTTCCACAGCATTAATTGTTTAAATGGCTTAATAAAACATAATTCAAAATAATATTAAGTCTGCAATTACAGATACACATTCACTTCGGATACTAATTTTTATCCAAATTTGCAAAATTTGAACTTTGAAGTTGGAAGTAAAAAAAAGTTGGAAGTATGTTGTTTAACCTTTTTTCATTAAAGTTTGAACTTATTACAAAATTTTCCTCTTTTTACTCCTCCAAGCTACAACTCCTTTCAAATTCCAACAATAGAATAGAATTTGATAATTCCTTTAAAATTTCTGTATTCCACCTACAACCTACCACGGTCCATGAGTAATGGTGTTGAAGGAATTTAAATCCCGCATTCGAGATTGGAATTGATTTTTTTAT